CTATTAGAAGAATAATCCATCTGTAATTGGTCAATTTTATTACAACTTATGACTAAAAGCTTATTGTAGAATGGCCATAAAGCCTTCACACACACTTTCCGTAACAGTATCCGTAAGACGTAACGTAAGAATTAACCAATCACGTTGAGAATCGTCGAAACATAAGGTCGCCATTTTTGTGAATACTCCATCGTAATTGGTCAATTCTTACGTTACGTCTTACAGCTACTGTTACAGAAAGTGTGTGTGAAGGCTTTTATTCCCTTTCAAATGTTCTCTTCGTTCTTTTCATAAGTTGCGGTCAGGAAAAATTTTTTGTTTAACGTTGTACGTTTTTTGTTTAGAATAATTCTAAACAAAAGTTTTAAAGATTGCAAGTGTGATATAGCAAGATCACCATGTCACAAGAAAAGTAAGAATATTTACTCTATTATCTTTATTGCATGCTCTGAGGATACTCCTAGGACGGAATTCATAGATGAGTCTTCAATTTCAAGACGGTATTGAATTCTTCTTTAGATGCTGTACGTACCGTTTTATTGGCTACGAAACATCTGCAGATAAATTCAAGATTGCCTTGAAACTCAAGACACGCCTATAAATACCGTCCCTAGACATTGACATGTACTCAAAACATCCTCGAAATATTCTCCGGATATCTGTGCTGTTAGAAATAAATTAAAAAATTAGAAAAAAAAGGTTATAATAATAAAAATTTGCTGTACCTCTTAAACAAAATTTATTCATATATGCATTGCTATTGTTTCAGATGTACACAGCGACCAAAACGAGTCATAAATAAGCCTCCTCGATACCAGTCATCGTCAGATGAACAACCCCAAGAGAAAAGACGCTGTGCAGCATCTGCTACTACTAGTGGTACCATTTACGACGACATTGGAGAAATAAGAAGAACTCTAGAAGAGGAAGATACTTTTGATATACAAACACATACTCAACCTACACAATATACACACTCATTCACAAACATTGATAATACACAAACACGTACATATACACCTAACATACAGATGCACACTCACACCCCATCCATACAAACATACACAAACACATTACCAACACAAACACGTCTTATATCAAATAAAGAAAACGAACAAGCAACAGTTCTACAGCAACAGTTTGCCTCAGTTGCGAACTGTACAACCATTGCAGGAAAGAAGCTTCCAATTTGGGTTGAGTGGTCAGGATGGTGCAATTTTCCCTATGCAGGATACTCAACATGATAATGTAGAAAAAAGGTTAGTTCATTATCATCAAATATATGCTAAATAATTTTGATACATGATAAAATATATAGTTTATTTACAAATACGTATTTTTTATTTGAATTTCTGAAAGGAATTAAAAATTATGTGTCTATTACTATTAGAAAGTATTTGTAATTGTTGCTTTCATTATAGGGGAACAGAAACACTCTTGAACAGAATGGAGGAACGTATAAGTAACGTGGAGGCTGAAATAAAGTAAGTTCTATAACAAATAATTATATGTGTTTATATATATATATATATATATATATATATATATATATATATATATATATATATATACACACACACACACACACACACACACACACACACACACACACACACACACACACAGCAATGTTACATGTAATATATATGTTTGCTGTAATTTCTACTCAACAATATAACTGTTTGTTTCACGTGTATTATATGACAGTGATATCGTTGAGTGGGATGTTACAACTAACATGTACGTAACATGTAACACTGTGTTTGCTGAATATGTATACAACCTTACTGTGTTTCTTGTTTCTTTTCAGGAAAATAACTGCAGGTATCAATAAAATATTAAGGTGCGTTCAGGATCACCGATCCGCAGTGCGAAAACCAGATGGCTTATCCATTACAAGTATGGAACAGATGCAGGAGTTTGAAGAATCGGTAGAACAACATTATACCGATGTTGTAAGTAAAATTAATATCTTTTACGTCACACGAAAATTACGTACATAATATGCTGCTTGTTTTAGGTCAATTATTTTCATTATATTGGCGGCTTCACTTTGAAGGAAGCAACCAATCTTTGCCTCAAAGAGGCTTTGCATGACACACTGGTGTTGTCGTATACTTGGTTTGGCCGCGATGAAGGACGTCAACCATTATATAACACTCGGCTTGTTAAGGCCATCTATGGTAAGAAATATTTTCAATCTTCAGAGAGACAGAGATAGAGAGGGACAGAGAGAGAGAGAGAGAGAGAGAGAGAGAGAGAGAGAGAGAGAGAGAGAAATTAGTATTGCCTTCCAGAAAGAAATGTGCTTTTTTCGCAGATGCTGTATGCAGAAACAATTCTTTTGCAAAACCTCAGAAGTCAGAGTTCCAGAAGGAGATGCGGAACTCTCTACGCGTTATGAAAGAAAGGAACCAAATAAGAATGAAAAGACACCAACGCAATCCCGTCCCACTGGACGCTGAGCATTTGTGGGACGACGAGGAAGAAGACAACCAAGATTGTCAACAACATTGACAATGAAGTAAGTTAAAAATATTCGTTGCCATTTTAAGACGAGTAGTAAGAATGAAAAAGATGCTGATAACGACGATGGACGTTAAATTGTTCTTTTTAACGAAACTCCCCAGAATTTTTCTTTCTAACGAAATTCTCTAGAATTCCAATATTTTCAAAGCTTTACACGGTTTTATTTGTATTTTTACAACATGTAATTACGTTAATATATAGTAAATTAATATAATAGATTTGTTCTGGAAGTGGTATTATAATATTAAAATCTTTATTAAATCAAATTGAATTATATGAAAAATCTGGGGAAGGAAGTCTAATATTTTTTTTTTACATCAACATACTGAACTTGATATAAAAGATAGAAAATTGGAGAGCAACTTTTGTAGTAAATATATTGCTGTATTAACATAAGAAAAATTTTACGTTTTACATTGTATGATATATGTAAATTTCATAATTAATTCAATACACATTTACTCTACAAATACAATTAAGAAATAGTCAAATTATCATCGATTATCTCATGATAATCAATGAAAGTTCTTTTTTTTTTGCTCTTATGCTGTTTCTACTAAATCAATTGCTTCACCAGAATTTATACGGAATTTAGGTTAGATTAGGTTAGTAATAATAATTAGCGTGAGCGTCATTTTATTTTTGTCCCATATTCAATCAGTAACGAAGATAAGGTCCTCGATAGACAGATATACGTTAACTTTATTGCAACTTTATATATATTAAATTACGAAATTCAGCGACATTGAGTCCTTTATGACTGATTAGATTGCCTTCATATTTGTCACATAGACTGATGATCGCGTCTGACTTTGTACGCAGTTATCTTGGCCTTTATACGGATGCCGATTATAAAATCAAATCTTTACGGACTTTACGGATCCCGATTCTGTCACTTGTTTACTTGCTGGTATCGTCGACACCAGCAAAGATGGGTAAGTAATCGCGGTGAGCCGCAGTGATTTCTATTATTTAATTTAAATACCGCTTTCAAAGCTTCTTCTTCCTCTTTACGACCTGGTAAAATATATCATTGGCCAATTATCAAGTAAAAATCATGAAACTCTGACAAAGAGAGATGCAATTCTAAAAAGGAAAGCTATATCCTTAAATTGTTCTTTTTAACGAAACTCCCCAGAATTTTTCTTTCTAACGAAATTCTCTAGAATTCCAATATTTTCAAAGCTTTACACGGTTTTATTTGTATTTTTACAACATGTAATTACGTTAATATATAGTAAATTAATATAATAGATTTGTTCTGGAAGTGGTATTATAATATTAAAATCTTTATTAAATCAAATTGAATTATATGAAAAATCTGAAAAAGGCTCTGTTGAACAACAACAAAAAATACAAAAAGTAGACCTTTAAGAACCAAGCACGGATCTTATAATGCTGTAAAACTTTTTATAGCATTATAAGATCCGTGCTTGATTTTTATAGGCAAATTGAATTAATTTATGAGACAGAAACGATTCAAAGCTCTCTTCGCGATAGAGAAGTCCTTCTTCACTGAACAAAGTTGACTTGGTCTTGTTTTAGGCTCATATCGTTTGCAGAATTTCAAGTCTTCGAAAGTCTCCTCTGTGTACCAGACGCTCTATACAGCTTTTCAGCTCTTTGACACTAATGG